TCGGCGATCTCACTTTCGTGAGTGATTCAATCGTCCACTGAGGATCCCAGTCTCACGCTCACAAACGCCTGGCAGGAACATGTCCAACGTTATCGTCGTTAGGGGTGAAGACAACCACGAAGGTAGATCTCCTTTTCTACATTGACTACGGAGTCCTCCTACTTGCTGCTTACAAGACGCAATGAATCGATACAGCTCGATTCCGCTGCAGCTGGTGCACGAGAGATGATATCACTACCGACGCATCGGGTATCACCAGCTGGCAAAACATAGACGTCTTCTTCAGAGAAATCTCGAGGTCGACTGGTTTTTCATGGGTGAAGAAACCGGAAAGCGCTTGCCTTTCTATCGAGCTATCCGCCGACAAGCACCAGCAAATCCACGAAGAAGACTTTGGCTGCACTGCCGCGTTCCAATTTGCCCTCGACTGCCTCTCAGCTGCCAGCCATGACGATGAGCACGAGAGTGTCGCCCGGCTCGTCGTACCGCGATCTAGTGGGTATATCGTACGCTCTGACATCATGTCCTTACGCCTCCTCGGCTGCTCTCTGGTGAAGAGTGTCGCCAGCTTTGCCAAACCACAGCAGTTCTTTGACGGCAAGCCCATCAACGTCGATGTCTTCCCGAGTGCTTTTGCAACATCGATTGGAGGCGTTCTCTTGATGAAGAGGAAGACAAAACAGCACGCCAATTCGAACGGTAAAATTGGCAATGGAATTATCGCTCTTGACTCACTACTGTCTTCTCTGGATCACGAATTGCGCAATCGTTTGTCGTTCCCTTGGCTGTCCACGCAGCCCCCGGCAAAACGACGACCCACCCTAGCCATCGTCGACGGTGGCCTTCGAGGTCCTGACGACGGAGGAACGGGAGGGAGCATATACATGGCGGCCGAAGCTCTGGGAATCGACATGGTCGTGTTGGACAATCCCGGGCACTGGGTGAATGGTCCGAAATACCGCCATTGGCGCAAAGCTTTCGTTCCTCTCGAACTTCAGCTCGAACCTGATGCTGGATTTTCCAATCGTATTGCGGACGCGGTACGTTCGTATGAAGGCCACATCGATGGAATTCTGACCTTTCGCGATCATTACAAGGTTCCCGTTGCCGAAGCTGCTGTGCAACTGTCTTTACCGACATATCCTCCATCGGCCTACGTCATTGCCACGGACAAATTCAAGACGAGTGTGTCCGAAGGTCACATCGCATATCAAGCATCTAGCGCCGAGCAAGCCGTCAAAATTGTGCAAGAGCACCATCTAGAATTCCCGTTGATTATCAAGCCATGCAATGGCTTCCTTTCCGAGGGTGTCTTCCGCGTCGAGAACCTCTCGCAGCTCGAGGCGGGTGCACAGGCCATCGACACCGATCGACACGGGAAAGAATTTGTAATCGAAAAGTACTGCGAGGGACCCGAAGTCGATGCCAACGTGGTGCTCTGCGACGGAGAGGTGATATTCTTCGAAGTATCGGACGATTTCCCGAAGGGCGCCGACGCCAACAGCCACGGCACTGTCAAGAATTTCATCGAGCTTGCCAATGTCCTGCCATCTGCGCTGCCTGAGCACGAGCAGGCCCTGCTGCGAGATTCGCTTCGTCAAAGCTTAGTTCGGATGGGGTTCCTAGACGGATTCTTTCACCTCGAGGCGCGCGTGGAAAACTCCAGCATGGAATACGGTACCAAAAATCAAGTTTTGGACCTGAGAATGCGTGACAGTGTGGAGAAAGGGACACCAGCACCAGCGGCCTGGTTGATCGAAGTCAATCCACGGCCACCAGGAATCCAAGCTTCCGAAGCGGCCAGGCATACGTATGGTGTTGATTATTTCGGCCTCGGCCTACTGTTCGCTCTCGACGACAAGCCTCGGGCCAAGCAGCTTTCACACGCGTTTGCCCAAGGGCCGCAGTATTGGTGCGAAATGGTCTTCATCCCCGTGGAGAAAGGTGGTGTATATGAATCTGGCGATGTGTGTGAAGAGCTCTTTGCTCGACGGCCTGATCTGGTCGATCATGTTTCGGGAAGCTTCTGTTTTCTCAAGAAGGGAGACCATGTGGCGGATCCCTTAAAGACAGGGCTCAACTCATGGGTGGCGTATTTCAACGTCTATTCGAGAGAGGGTCGCGAGCATGTGTTGGAACTGGCCGACTGTGTGAGACGCGAGGTAAGATTCTCTATCGTATGAGGACAATGACGGCCTCGCAAGAACATATAGGTTATGCAGCCACGTCATGTACAGCGTACAGTGTATGATAGAGCTCTCTAGTGATGTGCTTCTATCCAGCTACTGAAGATGCAGGATGCAAGTGGTTGAGGAGTAGGAATCTTCCCCAGTACATTTTAGGGTTTGGCCAACCCCCTCAAGTCCATCGCCAAAACCCCCCAACCTCTCTCTTACATTACAACTACTCAAACAATACTCATATACTGAATAAGGAATGCAAGATTCTATTTTCTATGATTTCTGAGAACTGTACAATCTTGCCGTTAAATTATCTGGCAGCCCAGATACATGTACGGTATCGCCAGCTTACGTTGGCTGACTTTCTGCGGCCCCGATGATGACTGCAGCCCTATGCAGCTGACGGATAAGCAATAATCATCTCGGTGGAGAAACCAGTGCTAACATGTCAGGGTTAATTTTGGAGGGAGAAGAAGACGTGAATATTGACTATGCGACTTCCACTGGCACCATAATGTTGTTCATATACACTTATAAAAGTTATTTGTCATACAGGCAGGGAATGTGCATGGTGAAGACTGACAAGAAACCAGAATCCGATCGAACAGCTACATAGTCAAAATAACTTGCTGTGTCCTGAAGAATGGACTACACCTCCCGCATCTTTTCTCGTCCTCCCCCAAACGTCCATTCTCCTGTCTTGTCCGACGCCGATCGACCACATCGAAGCATCTCATGGGCTGAATACGCATCCGCCGTCAAACGAATCGCTGTCGGATTGCGCGCACTGGGCGTCGTCGAGCAGGATGGTGTCGGCCTCCTCAGTCGCAACGAGATATACTACTATGTGCTTGCGGACGGTGCTATCGCGGCGGGTGCGACGTTTGTCGGTATTCCGCCGTCTGACAAAGAGGACAGGGTGGCCACGCACATGGCCGTAGCGCATGTGAAATGGCTGTTCGCCGCCCCAGAGTTTTTGGAATCGGCTCTGACGACGGCGGCAAAGGTGGGCTTAGACAAGTCTCGCGTGCTTGTCTTTGATCCGCCCGGCCTGGAGCCCTACGAGAATGATAATGGCCAACCCCGCTTCAGCAGCCTTCTCGAGGCAGATGAGAGTCGCTGGCAGAATACTAACCACGGAAAGGATCCTAGAACACTGACGGCGCTGCGGTTGTTTACCAGCGGCACCACAGGATCCATCAAGGCGGCGGAGATTTCCCACGCGGCGCTCGTGACAAGACTAGATGCGCAGGACTTTGTCCCATCGCCGCGCGACCGCGCGCAGCTGCAATTTATCAGTCTTTCCTCCGCGGGCGGCCAAATGATTTGCCAGCGCGCCTTTGCGGGGTGGCTGCCTGCCTACATTTCTAACTACGATGACGAACTAAGCATCATCGACAGAATCCAGTCGTGTAACATCTCGGTTATTCAGTTACCACCCCGGACTATGGAAGGCATAACGGCCGTGATCAAAGCCGGGATCCGTTCTCGCGAGAGTCTTCAGTCCCTCAGCACCATCCTAGTCGGTGGAGCAGCTTCTCGAAAAGAGGGAGTCGACCAATTCGCTTCCATCTTACCAAGTCATGTCTTGCTGCGATCGGGTTACGGATCGACTGAGGTCGGAATCATCGCCATGACCTCCGCAAGCCTCGACGCCCCCTGGAGACCGGGCCCAGGTTACGTGGGCCTTCTCCCACCTGGTGTCGAGTTGCGCGTGATAGACCACGAAACGCTCCAGACGATCAGCTCCGACATCGAAGGCGAGATCTGCGTCCGCAACGCATCCATGTTCAGCGGATATTGTAACAATCCAACAGCTACAGCCGAAGTGTTCCTTCCCGACGATGACGGAGGCGCTCCTTGGTTCAGAACGGGAGATCGGGGGTATTTAGATCCGCAGAGCGGTCAACTCGCCTTGACCGGCCGCTTCAATGAAATGTTCACCGTCAAGCTGGAGCGAGTTGTACCCTCGGAAGTCGAGGCAGAGCTGCTAAAGCACGAGTCAATCGCGGACGCCGCAGTGACTGCCACAAGGGCGCGAGACATCGAAGGAGACAACGAGTGCATAGCGTACGTTGTGCGAAGAAACGGGGTAGAGTTGACGGCGCGCCAAGTGGTGGAGTTCATTGCGGCGAGGTTGTCAAACGACAAAGCCCCAACGGGTGGCGTCGTGTTTTGCGCGAGTATCCCACGGAACGCCATGAGGAAAATCATGAGGCACAAGTTGATCGAGCTGGAGTCCTTGGCTGGGTCAGAGAGATACATTGAAATATCCTCTCGGAGTGCTCCGTAGTTAGTTAGCTAGCGAACTATTTATCGGTCATTGAACCTTAAGATTCACAGACTCATAAACTGTTAGAAAAGAGTGCGCGTCCTTTTGGCGGGAGCACGATAATCTTGCAGTAGAACATAACTTCCGAAAAAATTCTCTCTAATGGTGCTGAATTCGCAAAGCTACGAATTACTACGTCTGGAACACAGCCAACCGCGTTGTATGCAATCAAATGACGTGCCCAGAATTAGGTACCCGCCAACCATGACAGCCTGCTGAAGGTTTAGGAACCACAATCCAGAAGATGGCAATTCCTCAGGAAGACTTGTCTGAAGGGTGGCCAACATAAAACAAAAGGCTCCCACGAACCCCTGATTTGAGGCGAAGCAGGGGTTGCTGCGGAGAGGAGGAACTTTACTATCGCGACGCCAGGAACAAGGTTGCGAAATGCCGGCGATCCGGATGCGACGCTTGCTGTGATCTTTCAATTTTTTTCTTAATTATTTTTTATTTTTTATTTTTTATTTATTTATTTATTTATTTATTTATTTTTGGACGAAGGATAAGACTATGTAATTTGTGTAAATTTATTTAACTTTTTTTATTTAATTTTTGGGAACACACAAAGTCCCTAGTTTCACACTCCCATCCAAAGCCGCCCAAAATAGCCCAGTCCTAATTAATAACTACAGTACGGAGTAGTTAATCAGCAGTAAAAAAGGAAAAAAAAAAAAAGCAAACAATTGCTTTCCCGTCCCATTCACGCCCATGCCACCAAAATCCGGTACGACGCCCGCCGCTGCAGATAATCAAAATAATCGTATATACATGCTCCGTACAAGCCCTTGCATAGTAATCCACCCGCCGTGCGCAGGTACAATATAAAATCGCGATGTAATGAACAAAAGCATATTCCGTATCCGCATGGGATTAAGGAATAAGCTGATCATCCTCGTAGAGCTTGTCCAGGTCTTCATCATCCTCAATTGCGACGCCATTGCCCTTCTCACACTCCGACAGACTGATCGGCTGTTTGTGAAGTCTATTCCAAACCCAGTGGCTGAGGTCCACCAGGGCGACGGCGACGAGAAAAAGTAGTACGGCGACGACCGCCACGACACCCGGAGTTACAAGCTCCGGTTGGACTTCGAGGTTGGAAAAAGCGCTGTCATCGTCAGATGATAGGTCGTAGCACGGCCGGCAGATGCGAATGGGGCTTCTATCGGCGAAAGGCTTGCAGCCGCAATGTACGAACTGCGAGGGTGGGGTTGATAGCGTCTTGGGGGTCGGGCTGCTGGGTAATGAAAGAGATAGTGAGGTGCTTGGTTCTTGAATTGACTCTATGTTCGAATCCGATTCTGTCGCACGCGGAAGTGAGGTGGACTGGGATGGTGGGAAGCCATCGCCGTTTGCATCTCCATCTTCGAACATCTGGATAGGGTGCATGGTCAGTAACCTGGGTTCCCGCGAGGAACAATGGCGCGTAGAGAGCTTACTATTTGGATATCTTGCTGCACTCTGATCACCACCTTCTCCTTCAGCTTTAGAAACTTTAGGTTTCGCATCCTTTTTGGAAGTATATCAGATGCTATGAGAGTGTCCTTTTTCTTTTCTTTTCTTTTCTTTTCTTTTCTTTTTTTTTTTTTTTTTTTTTTTTTTTTTTTGCGAAGACGATTTCTAGGCGAGACAGCGCACACTAAGGAAGAAAGACAGACTGCGAGTCGAGGACTCGGCTTGCTTTCCCGGTTTTTCAAGTTGTTTGCGCAGACAAAGAAACAGGCGGTTCGTCTCAGTGTGTGGAGAAACAAAGAACGAAAAAAGCCAATGCAAACCGAAACCTCGGACTGTCAATGCTATCATGCGCCTAGAGAAACAACAAAACCATTCTACCGCACCGTGGCAGGCTCTTTCGACTTATATTTCAACGTACGTCGAATATGAGACTCGATCACGGCTTGAGGCCCAGTAGGTTAGTTAGTTAGCCGCCGATGATCAACCGTGGTATGGGGGAGATCGTCAAAGGGCGATCTTCGCAGGCAAGCGCAGTTTATCTTTATGTAGGTAGCACCACGCAGCAGCTGTTTCCAACAGTGAATAAAGACGCATGCCATCAACCAATAGGTTAAAAAAAAAGAAAAAAAGGGGGGGGAAGAGTGGGAAAAAGCGCCCCCTCTCCACGTTTCACTCCAGAGGAGTCAAAAGAAGAGAAGTAGTGAATGTTTTCCTCGGAGATGCAGAATCAAAGAAAAGCAGAATGCGAGACACTCGCTGCTTTAGCCACGGCGCAGGACCAGTTTATGTAGGCAGCACGTACGGGAATGTAACTTTTCAGCGACTCTCAGCTTGATCGCACGAATCGCACAAAGCCTCATGATCCCACCGCGGCAACGGGAAACCAGAAACACAAGCGTGCGTCGTGACACGGCCAAAATGCCGTTTGTGCTCCCTGACTTCATGTAGCCGTTCCATTTTGGCGTCGGAGCTTCAGCCCGATCTAGAGCATATCGCTCGACTGCTTCTAACGCGGCCAAGGATGGCATCTGGAATAGGAGCCGAGAATTAACCCTGGCGTCCGAGTTCTTGACGTTTACACCTCTGTAGTCAATTGTGGGTTGGAGTTACGCCATCCCGCCCATATGCATACCTAATCGACGACGAAATTCTAAGTTTAGAGCGGGGGGAAAAAAAAGACAAACAAGCGATTCCATCTCTCTATCTGCTCTCTCTGAGTCACTTGAATCAAGCGTACCAACCCTGTCGTCGTTCTGGAACATCAGTGTTTGACATCAAAAGTCAAACAGGCCTTTCGATGTGGAAAGTTTATGAAGAAGAAGCTCATTTCACTCAGACGCTAAGGTGGACGCCAGACCCGTTCCCAGGAGAACGACCATCGTGCTAGTGAACCATGCTTTCGTACTCCCGTACCCATCACATGCTACGGATTCATTTCAGGCTCCGCTGCTGTCTTTGGTTGCAAAGGTGGCTTCCCCAGAGTCTGAGCAAGCCCTCCCCCCAGATGACTCCTCCCAGGGTTAGTGTGACCAAGGGGGCTGAGTACGGAGGTATGTATGCACACGCTGTCTGTTGGAACTGTGGGGGTTCGGGCCAACAAACCTTGTACCTCTTCGTCGCGCGCAGGGTCCCCTTGACTCCGTGGTGTGCGCCAGTTGGAAACCGGAATCCTCCCGGGGAAGTCTGGGTTCGTGCGACTCCTGGCTGGCGAGAGGAAGGAGATCATAGATGATGGGAGCACCAGACAACTCCATACAAGCAAATTGAGATTCATGTGCAGCTAGCTGACTGATACTATCGCATGATGAAAGCAGATCAAAAAATAAAAAATAATTATTGTCAACTGTGAAGAGAGAGAAAAGAAAGAAAAAGAAAGCAAAAAACAGAGAGAGAGAGAGAGAGAGGGAAAAAAAGAGAATAATTAGGATAATGGAGAGAGTGGGGTTCGAACCCACGCAACTTTCGTTATTCGAGCTTAAATCGAACGCCTTAGACCACTCGGCCATCTCTCCGCATATATCTCGTTGCGTCAACGCCAACTGGACACTTCAAGGAATTTGCGTTGGCCTTGAAAAACAGGGGTGCATCCAAATCTCCCATCAACTTCGGTCTATCGCAAAATAATCATCCAACTATTACTCTGTACAGGGTAAGGCTTAAACATGAAATGTGCCTCCCAGCCTCAGAACAGCCCTACTTCCGCATCCCAATCTCGAGCAATCTGATCTGCAGTCTTCCCAGTCGCCCAAACCTCACGCAGCACCTTCAACGGCAGCTGGAGGTGAGGGCTACCGTCATCGAGGAAAAACTCTCCCCAGAAATCCTCCAGAAAGATCTTCTGTTTCGGGGTTAGAAGGTTGTACTGGGTTCCCACCGTGAACGCAGGAAACAGAAGCAGGTTGAGCATCGCAGGCGTGACGTCCGCGGGATGGTCGTACAGGCTCTCGAGCTGGCCCAAGATGCGCTCGACCAAGGCGTCTGTCGGCGGCAGGGAAACTTCATTGTTGGCACTCACGCGCTGGCCAATAGGGATGCCGCCGCGCCGATGATCTCCTCTCGCGCGGATTATTCCCGCGAGCCTCGTCATCTCCCAGACCATATCGCTGAAAGTGGTCCTTCCAGGGCCCTCCGGGATCCAGGTCCAGAATCGCCACTCTGCGTTTGGCTCGGAGACCATGGAGAAGATGTCTAGTAGGCTATACGGTATGCCGCTGCTGGGTTCCCTACCGGTCTTCCCACGACAGTAATCTCTCCATATGTTCAGCGTGGGGGTTTGGCGACCAACGATATGAGATGGTAGGTCGAGGAAGCCAATCGTAGAGATAAGTTCAGATGCGATGGGGGTCTGATTCTGAGCGACCTTTCGATGCTGCAGGATCGTGTAGAGTCCATTGAGATGCATAGTCCACGATTTACAGTTTTGCATCTAGGTTCGGCCTCCCGGTTAATGTCTTGGGCCCAGGGGGGAAAAAAAAACGCAGAAGGATGAAACATACACCTATAGAGCTTAGCAGAATCCCAGCTATCAACGTCGCGTCCTTTAGACTTCTCGCGTGGTCACAGACATCCTGACGAAAGAGGCGCAGTGCTTCCGCGTAATACGCTTCGTGTCTTTCGTTGTATTCCGGATGAAGAGAAAGTTGGAACATCAGACAGTTCGCCATAAGCGATTCTGATTCCTCGCAATATGATAGAACTTCCCCGAATGGAGAATAGCCATTGTCAGATCCCATCGAGAGACACTGCGATCCCCATTGTTTGACTAAATGTTTATCATCATTAAAAACTTCTCAAACGTTCTCGATAACGGTAGGTATCGTACATTCTCGAAACAACTCTTGATCAAAGCTCCCCAACGATGACGACAGGGACGACGAAAGCGACGCGGCCGACTGGGGCGAGCCATCCGCCGAAGAATCCTCCACCTCGGTCTGGGACTCAGTGCGTCGCTTCACACCACGAGCACGAGCACGAGCACGACCTCCTCCTCCTCCTCCTGCTGCTTCTGCTGCTGCTGCTGCTGCGGCTACTCTCCCCGCCTCTGAATCTGGAGAATCTTTACTCGAGCCACCCACCTTGCGCATGTTCCCATTCTCACCAGGACCCATCACCATGATCGGACAATTCATGCCCTTCAAGTATCCCCGGGACGCGACCCCATTTCCCCACTTCAACCGCGCTTCATAGCCTTCACATTTTAGCCCTTTATTCAGACACTGCATGCACTCCGGGTGCGTCTCGTCGCATTTTTTCTTTCGCGAGCGACAGGTCCAGCAGCCGTTACGGGAGCGTGTGGCCTTGGGCTTTCTGGTGGCGGGTTTCGCGCCCCTGGAGGTATCTAGAGCGGCGGACATTATAGCATAAATTCTTAAAAAGCGCGTAGGGGGGAAATTATATAACTATAGACTCCTGTACAGGAGCTTCGGCCTGCCCACCCAGTGAATTTGCTCGACGAGATTTTTTTTTTTTTAAAGAAAATTCGTGAGTCGAAAAAACACAGGACTGGGAAAAGAACTTCTGAACTTGAGTTTCGATGCCCAGGCAGCATAGAAGACACCCTCAAACACTGGTGGTTCATGACTGGGCTGGGTGTAGGTGACAGACGAGCGTGTTTCGAAGAATGCGCTCAGAGAGATAACTTGCTTCCCGCGCCCACGTATTCACGAGATGGGCCGTGCAAGGCATGCAAGGCGGCTGGTCGCTCAGCCACTCGAGGCCCGTCGTTCCAACGTCCCCACCAAAGGCGCCCCTCCGTGTATCGAGTACTCCGTAAAGGGATGGGGTTGACGTCGGGGCGAGCATATTTCGTCGAATATCCCTGGAGTCTAGGCTGAGCACTCCGGAGATAACATATTTGCCATGAGATCAACAGGGGTTCTCCCGTAAACCTCCCAGGCGATTACAGCGTTCTCTACGCAAATTCGCACTTACTTTTCGTGCATGTAGTCAATAGGGTTAACTTCTGATCAATTCCCACCAATGAAATTTCCATGCTTACCCCGGAAATATGTTGCCAAGGGAACAGTACCATTGACGGAGTGTTGAGGGACGACATATGGAATGTCCTCGCGTCTTAAAAGTTTAACGATGTGATAAGAATGGGGTGAACGCTTGAGATACAGAGGAGAGCACAGCTCTGCTTGAATTGCTTTAATGCCTAGCAACATAGGAAACATGCTCTATTAAAAATACGAGCGAGCAAACTTCTCCCTCACAATAAAAGAAGCAGTACTGGCCCCAAAAATTCCATCAGTCAGAAATTCTCTGAATAGCAATTGAAGGGAATTTAGATCAAGGTACCTGCTCAAATGAACATATTTTGTCATATAGTTACACCACCCAGCCGAGGTAGTATGCATTGCGGCACAGCTGAGAGTAGTCATCCTTTCAAGCAAATTGCAAAAAAAAATGAACAGGACAGGCTTCAAGAAAGCAGTCCACAAGAAGAAATGTGGACAAAACTGTATTTCATAACAAATATGGAGTGCATCTTTACTGTACCTTATTCTTGATTTGAGTCCCAAGGGTGAGATGATACTTGCGCTTGCAGCATCAGTAATATCAGACATGTTTGGTAATGCTTTAACTAGTTGATGGGGAGATAGAAATATGCAGGTCTCCCATTCTGAGATGAAAGTATTCGATGAGTGAAGAACAGCAAATGGTGTCTGCTGCAACACAGTTGCAATCTCTACAAATGTCACGACCTGCACAGGAGAACACCTTCTGGCCTGGGACTATCAGATACCACAAAGACAGCATCCTTCAGGGACATCAGTCTATTATTATCTTCAAGTGAGCTGCAGTGCATATCTCTGCAGCTCAATTTACATATCCTAACAATAGCATGCCATAGACTGTAAGAAGATAATAATTGCCCCAAAGAATGCTAGGTACACCACTCGAACTCAAAAGGTGGGAAACTGACACAATCACCACTTTGTCTAGGCCAAGTTTGCAAAGGTTGAGTTGAGATGCCTGGCTATACAACTATATGGATACTTGATCTGACGTTGCTGTATTTTGCAACGAGGGATACAAGATTATCCTGGAGTGATGTAGTTATTTATTGAGATGTTGTTTGAAGACTTCTAATGTGTGTAGCCATCCTGTACTACAATTTATTTACGCAGGAAAGGCACACAAGGAGCTAAAATAGTAGTAATAACTTGGTTCATTTATGTTTATATCGACATTTTTTTTTTTTTTTTTTTTTTTTTTTTTTTTTTTTTTTTTTTCAGTCCGAGGATGAATCTCTATTCAGAATATGGCTAAAAGTGTTATCATGGAGTCTCATATTTTAAAACATACATACATCGAAGGAGGTTAGGAATATCTACACATTATCCGCAAGGGGGAAATAACCCATAATTCTCCAACCTATAGTCCCTGGTGGAAAAAAGCAACGGTGGAGCAGAAGTTGTTTCGGTTGTCCTTCTGCAACACCAGACCCTTGCCGCCAGATGTGATCATGTTCGTACTCGCTTTTGTGCTGACTGCGTACAGGTAGACCTGAGAACACTCGACCTCGATCATGTTAAGCTGGCAGGATTCGGTTTGGAGACATTCTTGGCCGTAGTTCTCGAAGAAACTGTACAAGCCGCCTCCGTAAAGGAAGACGTCGCTTGACTGAATGACACGGAGGCCCCATGCTTTCTTGCAGGTCGCGGTTGTGCAGTCGCCAAAAGTTGGGTCGTTAAATTTCGCATTTGGCGCAAACGGGACTAGGGCATCCGGGTTGGATTGGAAATATCTGTTTTTGATGTCAATAGCAGCTTAATGCAATGTGAGAGGGGGTGAACTAACGGTGTTTCTGTCTGGATCAGAGCCATGTAGACATTCTTGGCATTATGAACCTGGTAGTTGTAAAGGGTGTTGTGCTCAGAAGCCGTCCCATACATCCATACTGGGCCTTGACTCTCGATGAGAACACCTCTGCCGTTATAGATGTTGATCTGTCCGTGGTCAGACCGATCCAGCTCATGGTCCGAAACCCAGAACCAGGTGTTCTCAAAGTACGCAGAGGCTGACTCGGTAAGATGGACCAGCATGAAGGCACCGACGCATTCAGGGTCAGGCGTGGTGGTGGAATTTGGTGTCTTGGCGCAGCGGTCACTCTGCAGCTCGGTGCCCGCGGAGCCACCGACTCTAAGATGGACATCCCACATTCCAACCGATCCTTGTGTCTCTTCATGGATATTCCATTCAACCAGAATGCAACCAGGAGCCGGACCTTTGGTCTCAAGCATCAAGTCGGAAATTTCGACAACACCTTTATCGCCTGGCTGGCCGACCTGAAGCATGGGAATGGGGTTCTTTTCATCGGAGAAAGCAGGTCCGGTGGCCATCAATAACGGCCAGATCTCACCGGTGATCTTGATGTTCTTTGGAACTTTGACCGTATTAGTGATCAGATAGGCACCGTGATCAAAGTAAACAATTTGATCTGGCTTTGCGCTGTCCAAAACTTTTTGGATAGCTTCTGTGTCATCAGTCTTGCCATCACCTTTGGCACCCGCTGATTTGACGCTGATAAAAGAGGATGCCGGAACGTTCTCGTACTGTGGTTTCGCGCGTTCAAAAACCTTGCCGGACCCGTCCAGGAGAACAGCGGGCTTGGAGGGCCCTGGCACCTGTGATTGGACTCGGGTCCTCGCAACTGGTGTGCTGGCGCAAGTTCCGGAAGGTCTCTCAGTCTCAGACTGCGAGGGCGTGGGGGCTGGCGGTGAGGAGACGGTCGTCTGTGACGGTGAGGCTTCAGAGGACTCTGGCTGACGCGGAGAACTTGGGCTCTGTCCTGGCGGAGCAACGGTGTCGGACGGAGCAGCTGTGGATGGAGCTTGCGGAGGGAGTTCCACAGGACCAGAATCAGTAGCAGCTGGCAGTGGAGTAGGACAGTCGTAAACTGTAACGACCTTCACGCGATCCGCTGGTTCTGGTTCGCTCTCGGGAGCAAACCTCTTCAATTTGGAGGCATCAGAGGTGGATCCAGGAAGGTAAGCATGGCCCTGAACCCAGTGTTTTACTACAGAATTTCCATCGAGGATCGTTTCTCCAGTCACCCCAGATACGGCGACGCTGGATTCGGAAAACTCAACGTTATCCAGTATTAACGTCCCACCGGTCGCTGGTACACCACTGTCGAATGCGGTGACGACGCCCTTGGGTGTTTTGCTCACCTTGCTGTCCAGAATCAAAACGGAGCCGACAGTCTGGTTGGTGATGCCGTTGGACATGTTCAGGCCTACGCCACAATTGTTGATGGTGACGGACTTGAAGGTCCATGCCCAGTTCCAGTTCATAAAGATCGCGGTATTGCATTCATTGAAGGTCAGGTTCCTGGTAGTAAACTGCTGATTGCCCAGGAAAGCGCCGTAGTTCCCACCATTGAAGATTAAGTCGGTCATGAAACCACCAGAGCCATTGTCCATGAAAATACCTATTTGTTTGTTCGCATCACCACCTCCGCGAACCATTTCAAATCGAATGTTCTGCAAACTAGTCGCCTGGGCCACTTGCCAATGAATACCTGCTCCCGTGCCCCTGTCCAAACTGGTCAAATCGATAACAAAGTTACGGATTTGACGGAAGAAGTTGTTCTGGTTCGTGTACCAGTTGTTGCCTTCGTCGGTATATGGGTCAGCATCGATCAACGCGATGCCGGCAAAGTTCGACGCCGCCTTGATCACTGGGAGGTTGACGGCATCGCCAACCAACTGGGTGTAGTAGTACTGGATAATGGGTTTTGAAACAACGTATGTGCCTGGAGGGAAGTAAACAAGAGCAGGGGTGACAGTGGACGAGTCGCAACCCAAGCCACATCGGTTTCCGGTAGAGATGGCCTTGTTGATGGCCTCAGTGTCATCGGTTGAGCCATCACCTGGGGCATAAACGTCAACATAGAGATATCATGGGATATTTTGCGATGGGGACAGATAAGTTGTTCCAAGTTACCTTTTGCACCAAACTCCTTCACGTTTCGAAAAATTTGATAATTACCATCAGTATTAAAGGCCGCTTTGCCCTGTCGCTTTATTGACGCCAGCCAGTAGTCGGCCGCTTGGGTCGAAGGTTGGGATTGAGGCGTAGGCGCGGCATTGGAGAAGGGAATCGAAGAGAGGAACAGAAGGAGAAACTGTAAAGCGAAGAAGGCTGTTTCGAATTTTCTAGCCATGATTATATATATAACGAGTAATAGACAATCGAGGATGCAGATTGAGTCTTGATAGAACCCCTAAGCCTGGTGATCTGCAAAGGGAGTGAAATGGTTCGCGCTGACCAGCACCTGGAACCGAAGATGAGGTCGCTGCAGACTGGGGGTTTTATTCCACGCGAGAAGAGGAGAGAGAGAGAGAGCGAGAGAGAGCGAGAGAAAGCTCAGGCAGTGTGGGGGTGGGAAGGAAGGACGATGACGTGAAGGAGTGAATGTCGACTTCTCAAGACACGGCTGGGATCTCGCGTCAGACTTTTCCTTGACAACCTGTGCCCATAAAAAGTGAAGGAGGGTGAAGGCCAAGGTGGGATTCTCTTCACATTGGATCTATCACGACAATGAAAAAAGAATGGCAGCAGTGTTGCACAGTGACAGCAACACTGGCAAGGAGACAATGGGCATTCAAAGGCGTGAATGGGAGTGCAAGGCTGTCAATGAGGAGCGCTCGCTTTGTCTGACGTCTGCAACAAGAGAGTGTGTGCATAGGGTCGGAGGCCGTCTTTGTCCCCGGCGCAGTGAAGGTTTATATCAGGGGGTCATCTACGGCCTGACAGCCACTAGATTGCGGATCGCGCCTCCACTGGTGTGTGAAGAATCAAATTTCAACGCCACTAAGAATTTAGAGCTCACTCACTAATCTCCTTCTGGACTCGTTCACCGGCCCCTAGCCAGTAACGGGCCTCAAAACCGCGAGCTCCCCTGCACGCGCCAGGAAAGCCGGTGTGTTCTTTATCATGAAACGCAAGAGGAGGAGAGCAATCACGAACCGGGAGTACCTCGAAATGGGGCAGAATCCCAGGACCTGGACAAGGGAACAAAACAGACAAAATGAACACGGAGTTACTACTTCCATTGTTTCCAGACCTGGGCGACACAGTCGGCGGAGATTACGTCTTATATTGGGGATCCGCTGGCGATGCCAGGGACGGTGGGCTGCTGGTAGACGACATGACGGCGTTCTCGGAGCCCTGTTGGGAAAAACGCATGTCCGACTCTCCAGGCCTTATGACCAGATCAGTTTCCTGCCCGACCGAACGATGATGTCGGATCATTTGACCACCCAGTTAGGATCGTTTGGGACGGCGCCGGGAAAAAAGGGGAAAAGGGGGTTAATCACAATCTGCTGTGAGAAGCCAGTCCGTCACATATATTGTTTCCCATCACAAGCCGCCGTCCTCCGAATCTTGCCTTTGCACTTCGTACTCCGTACAGAGTAATCATACCTGGCTTCTCAAATTTCAGTGATCTTGAAACGCCTGGAGAAATCCCCTCCCCAGGACGGCTGGCGCTACGGCAGGAAGACAGCGGTGCCGACGAGGGCGACAGGGGGACAGGCCGAGTGCAGAGTCGTCGCCCCACAGCCTCCCTTGCCCGCCCGCATCTGCTTGGAGCCGAGGATGGCCTCCCGTGCGGCCAGCAGCTGATGCCAGCCAATCAAGCAGGCGGTGACAGGGGTCGCCAAAACACTCGGCCAGGCCGTCATGCTTCTGGGCGTTGCCGATCGGTGCGATAGTTCGAATTGCTTTTGCTCGGAACCAAAGATTTTTTTTTGAAAACCAGCTTCATCGACATTCCAAATCAAGCGGCAAGATCAGGGTCGCCTGTTTTCCCCAAATTCCGGGAAAATTCCGATTCCCGGAACCCGCCGCCTCTGCCTTAAATTGTCTACTTTACGATTTTGCTGGGGAACTCCCGAAACCTGGCAACTGAAGATTCAGACGACACAGGGTACTGCCTGGAAGGCAGCCGAGCCGACAGCCAGAATCTCACCTGGCCATGGTTCCTTGGACACACGAAGCAGGCTGTCCCACGCTCTTCAGACACGCTGGATACGTTTCACCCCTCCATCTCTCATTTTACAACGCCTTGAGCCAAGCAGAATATCTGGAAAGAAAAATATGTCGCGATCTGCATACCTTCACCCTGCCACCTAGGTCACACGGAAAACCATTTTCTTGGGCAGACTGGACTCTGGCTCGCGTGTCCGGTGGAGATGAGCTTTAACGATGGGATTATGATAAGGAGGACGTCACCACAATATATGCCCTGCTAGTTTTCAATCCAATGGGCTCCAAGGTTTTTCATACTGGATCTAATCAACTGGCTCGTGGGGGGTGTGGTTGCAGCGACGGTGCTGGCTACGCGGGGTGCCACGCAACTTTGAAGGCAATACCGGCCTGCTGAACCTGCGAGAGCCCAGAAAGACTTCCCAACGTACCAGAACGGGGAGGACGTGTGTAGACACAAGGAATACTAGGGCAGCTTGAGCGTCCCGCATTTTCTGAATTCTCACTTCTGCCTACCAACGATCTCCCATGACCGTCGTGTTACGTCTCCAGTGTACGCATATATCGCCGGATCAGGCTGGCCAACCTTTCCACTCCCTTTGTCAGATTTTGCTCCTCTTCATAAGCGAAACAAAGCCGGACATATCGTTCTAAGTTATGACGACTCTCTTGATTACTTGTGTCACCTTCCACCCGGAACATGGTTCCTGCTCCGATCAAGAGGCTCTCTTCTTCCTGGGCCTTTGAAGCTAAGTGACTCGCCTTTATCCCTGCTGGAAGCTCTAGCCAAACAAAGTATCCTCCCGAAAACTTGTTGGATTCCTTGACCAGCCGGACTCCCGGTTCCGTAAGGTTATCCCGGATCGCTGTGAGCATGATGCGGTGCCTTCTGGCATAGACGGGGCGTAGGGTGTTATCGATATAGTCTGGCAAGAAACTGGTAGACAGCAGTTCCCGAACGTATGTCGACGTGAGTTGCGATGGCGCTCCACCTGATCGGGAAGACCCGCTGCGCCAGAAACACATATCAGCCAAAATTCCCACATGTCTCAATATAAGTCATGAATCATCCCCGAGCTTGTGTTAACTCACGTTTGAGACACGCCATACGCAAACTTCGCTGTCCCTTCTGCCCATCCAACCCGGCAGCCTGCGCCAATTAACTTGCTGAAGCTACCGTTGCTTACCACATTACCGAATGCATCCTTTGGCCCTCCATCAAGAACTCGATCGATGTCAACTAATCGAGGTGCTACAGCTTTCCTGGGATGTTCTGCTGCAGACGGTGAATCAGATTTCCACTGCAGGAAGTCGTACACATCGTCGGTGATGACTAGGGCATCAAATTTCCGAGCCAAGCGCACTAACTGTTCCCGTCGACGCGTTGACATTATCCGGCCCGATGGATTAGAAAATGTTGGTACAGCATAAACAATATGCTTGTATATCTTTCTCCACGGCCGCGGGCTCTTCGAGTTCTGGATCCAATGGAGGACGTGAGCGAAGCGTTGACCAGACGCAATACCACCCTCGTCACAGGCATATCAAGACCAGGATCTTACCATACCGGTTCGAAAGGTCCCGTCCCGTCCTCGCACTTCTCCAACTCCCTCTCCAAAAAGCCAATGTCAATTCCCTCAGGATCTTCCGGCACAGCCCTCAACCTATTGGCGAAGCCCGCATCATCGAAAATCCTACAGGCAAGGTAATATGTTGGCTCCACCATCCACACGCGCCTCGTGTACTCGGCGTCGCTAAACACCTGCAGCACGCATGCCAGATTCTGACTTGCACCGCCCGAGATGCAGATCCGGTCCGCTGTGATTGGGTCGTTCGGTGAGTAGAACTCCGTTAGCCACTTGGCGATTTCGGCGCGAAGCCCCGGATCACCCTCATCAGGGCCATAACCCAATGCGGGCGTGGAGAGGGCTGGGTTGAGGAGGACGGTTGTGGCAGCGGCTTGGAGGGCGGAGGTGGGGTGGAGGGAAGGATTGGGCCAACCACGAAAAAGGTTGATGGGAGGCTTAGGTTCGTCCGCCATGAGCGCGCGCTGCTGTGCAAGACCCCCTTTTCTTTTAGCGCTGTTGGTTACATCAACCTGCTTCTAAAGAAGGATCTTGGAACCGATGAAAGGCATTCTACGATATGCGGGAGGCCGTTCCACCGCAGACCAGGGCAAACACGAAGCGCTGACCTCACGGAGTTGCCGATCGGACCGACTGATTATCCGGCAGCCGGATATGGATCGATACGCTCTTGGAATGCGAGGATTGGAAAATGAGCGGGCGTGATTTTCGGCGGGAATTCGCAGGACCCGAACCAAGATGGTCCAAGGGCCCACGGTGACTCCACTGTTCAGTTGTCCCGTAGCCGCTTATGAGTGCTAAAAGCCCCAAAATAAAACCAAAGCAATTACGCCATACTGAGGTCATCTTTCCGGTACGCTTGTCCCCTCCCATTTCACTTTGATTCAATGGCATGCGAAAAGAACATACATCCTTCGCCAACCCTCGCCGGCCAAGGAGCTATAACGCCAACTAAGGAATTAGGAGCGCTTCCGCTGGTGCTCACACAACCTGGCACTGCGGAGAAAGCCGGTTCAAACCGTTCTCAAGGAAAGATGGACTTCTCTAGCTACGTCAATTACCAGCATTCACCTAACAAAATGAACGTCTGGGGATGGCTGGTACATGGGAAGTGATGGCACAGCCTGTGCTAAAATAGTAGGTAAACAGGGCACACTGCTCAAATATTTGCGCGGCATTCAAAATGAGTGATTTATCGGGTACCCTGTTCTTTGGATTTCCGGGGTTTGATGACGGAGAAGAAGTGAATGATCACGTCGGCTGAGGCATGGGCTTCATCGAGAAGTGCGCGCGAAAGCGCCAAAAGCGTCGTGTGGCCCTGTTGGCCTAAGCCGCCATGGGATTGGTGCTAGGTGCGCAAGAACCAAATTCCCCCCCCTGTGTCTTTATTTCAGTAGACCACCGAATAGGCCAAAAGGCCAAATCACCTCCGCCCGGGGGGGGAGAGAGTTCCATTATCCCAACATATTTGATTGAATAAGTGTGACCTCTTTAAGGCCATCAGCTTCTTGTTGGAGGTCACGTAAAACGATCATCTGCATCTCAGCCTCAGGTATCGATGTTGATCTGGATAAGAATAACAAAGTCGATCGCCGAAGCAGGGCCTGTTATGTCATTGTATTGTTGATATTTTTGAGGCTCCTCCATACTCCGTACCCGCCAAGGCCGTAGAAGCTCCCATCTCACACTCCCCTCCCAAAACGGTCTCCTCTTAGCATACTCCGTACTCCGTACAATGCAATACATATTAGATATGGTCTAGCCGCTTGATCCGTTATTATGTACTGCATAAATCCAGATAACCAGAAAGATGTGTGTTTTCCGCGTGGAAAGCCGCGAGGCGGACGGAATCTGATGCAAAGCGGCCTATGTTTTCAGGGATAAGAAGGGGTCAGCGCCTGGACAATCCATGCTAGCTGATTATTTAAACTTGCTTCGCCCAACTTCAGCCACGGCAGCAACGAGCAATTGACAGCTCAGAGGGATCGAAGCACAAGTCGCAGGGATAAAAAGTCGGCCTAAGGGCACCTGAAGCAATCTCCTTTTCTCTGTTATGACCTTTGTTTCCGTCGCTCTTCTCTCGATGCTATTTAGAGGGTGTACTCCGTAGGGAGCACGGAGTTGGGTGCGAAGTCCCGTTGGCATTCCGATCCCTGTCGAATTAGGGGGGCAACCCTCCTAAATATAGCACCGATCAGCCTTAAGAATTAAGCATCATTGCCCAACAGTGGAAGCAATGCTCGGGAGGGAAGAGTAAATAGAAAAATGTTCCGTAAAATGCTCCTGGTGGTTATATTATTCACTATCTGGCCTGTTGGTTCCAGGATCTCAGCGCGAAGGAAAAGAACACTTCCAGAGTTGGATGTGCAGTTGCTTCAAGTATTAATATTTATTAACCCCGTGGCGTGCTGGTTCACGCATTCTCATGTTCCAGGCTCCTGACCCCGTAATGAAAGGCACTCCTACGGATGTAAAATAACTGCTCCCGCATCATCATCATCATCATCATCATCACAGTCCAGGCGTGGAAACCTGTTGCCCTCACGCCATCGCAGTCTCTCACGGCTGGCTGTCGTGCCGTCACGTCTTGTCGTTACGCCGCATTTGTCATCGAATCATAACTAGGGCCGTAAAATATGGTCCACAACAAACAGTTGTTTCTTCGCTTTTATTTTTTGGAATTAATTTTTTTATTTTGTCTCGGTTGCCGATCTTCCCTTTGCCGTCCCACTTTGACCCAACTAGCGTGGGCTTCTGCGGTTTGAGATCCACCGCAAGAAGCAGCCTGTCTTTTGTGCTTTCGTTCTTTTTTTGCTCATAGCCACATTCTGAAGCAAAGCAAGTATTCAATAGCGTCGTTTCACACGGGCAGGACACGAGCAGACGGGCCGTTTGGGGAGGCTTGGAGATACGAGCCAGGACCAGGGTGTGGAGGAGGATTTGCTGAGTTTCGAGAGCGTGGGTATCCAATTCGCCGGGTCGCCCACCGACAACGAAATTGAGCCGCAGCCGAGCACGTTTTTCGATTGACGGATAAGGCCGCCTCGTTGGCAGTTCAGGGTTGGCGGGGGCTCTCTTTCAGGCTGCTGGCTTCCAAGGAACAGGCTGCCCGCGAACTCAATCATCTCCCAAAAAGAAAAAAAAAAAAAAAAGAAAATCCCCTTTTCCGAAATCTCAAACATTTACGTACTCCCAACTTGCATAGTTCACTGGACGAAGGCAAAAAGGAAGCACGCAGCACAGGCAGCGATCTTCTCTCTTTCCGCATGTCACACTTTCTGACAGCCAACCACTCTATCTTTTTACTTTTCTAGAAACCCCAAAGAGTTAGAGAGAGAGCAACTTTGGTCATGATGCTGGGTGCACCCGGAAAATCGGCCAAACGGCTCTCGTCGCTCTTCTCCCTCGGATCGTCAAAGGAGCCTAAGCAAGACAAACACCAAGCACGAACACACGCCGCCAGCGGCTCGCTCTCCTCTCAGTCTGCAAAATCGGTCGACCATGCCTCAGCATCGTCCCAGCGCACTATTCGACACGCTGCCTCTGTACAGAACTTTCAAGACAGCCAGACCGTTATACCCGCGCCAAGAAATGTCTCTGCTCCTCTCCCAGTCGCAGACCCTCACAGGGACTCCCTCCTGATGCCTCCGCCCTCCCTGGCCGTCGTCAACTCGGATGTAGCCGCAGAATCGTCCTCCAACGAGAACCACAGACGTCGTCAGAGCTGGGGTGGGAGTATCCCAGGGCTTGGTCGTCCTAGGTCTGGAACCGGAACACGCCCGTCAAACCTCAACACTGAGTCCAGACCATCAAAAGGGAGGAGTTGGGTTCCCGGTCGATCGGGAAGAGGCTCAGAGGTGGTTACCGACAGCAGGCCCATGATGAGAGCGTGGATTGCAGGAACCCATCATGAGATGCCTTATGACGTAGACAAGCTGGTAGCCGGTGAAAGGGTAAGTCTAACTTTTGATCCCCCTGCTCGACCGTTATGCCTTGCTTTGTTTTGTTTTTTCTGACCTTTTTTTTTTTTTTTTTTCGTCGTTTAGATTCCAGAGCTCTGGGACGAGCAAGGTGATACTTACGTATACCTGTTTCCTAAAAACACCAATCGCCCACCGTCATTCAAGATCCATTCGTCCATATTCTCCGCCTCGCCAGCGTTGACAGTGATGGCACGTGGTTCAGATCCTGCTTCTCGTACCATGTCTGGCCCAGAGTGTCCTCCCAAGCTACGTCTCTCCGTTCCGGTGTCGCCCCCCGTTTCACCCCAACTAGGTCCCCTCGACGTATCCCAAGAAGGTGACTCGGACGGGAGAAGATCAAGGGATTATCTTCTCGACGAGAGCACCCAGGAACTCCACCTTTATCTGCCTGTTCCTCTGAACAGTGATGTATCAAACAACCGCCCGATCTTGCACGACGACGATGTGGATATGCTGGTCCTGTTCCGAAATACCTTTGCATTTCTCGTTGGACAGTCTCTGATCGCGACGCCACGGTGCCCGACAATCTTTTCGATTTTTATGGAAGTGGCGGGCCTTCTCGATAGATTTGCGTTCTCTAATTTGGACGGCTCAACATTCGGAGAAACGGCGCACTCAAGCTTCGCTAGCTACTGCGAGGAGTTGTGCTTGTTTGATATCAGAAAGAGTCCCGAGAGAACCATCCAGGCCATCGTAATCGCAGAAAAGATGCGTTTCCAGCCACTTTATCACGAAGGGTTCATTCACGGAGTTGGCAACTTCGACGAAATTAAACTGGCCGAAACCTTGAAATTCGACCTCATCTCAGGCGCCAGTCAGAAGCGGCTAGAAAGAGGTTATCTTGATCTCCAAAACCGCTTGAAAGTTGTCCGGGAGAAACTGGATGATTTTGATTTCCCTCAGTTATTCTCCGGCTTTGCAAATTCCACTGTCATGAACGAAGCAAAGGTCATCCGATTCAAAAACTGGAAGAATGCGTGCCTTGCATTCAGGAAACACGTCATGTCGTATTATCGAACGAGATTTGGGTCCTGGCCGCCGAAGGCAAACTCAAAGAAGAACCAATTTGAAGCAAGTGGTCTCAACCGATTGGTTCTGCAGGAGCTATACCAGGACTTTGCGGATCTCTATGACATTCTGGTTGATAGAACATCATTAACGACACGATCGCTCGACATGACTGTCACAGACGTTGAAGCCGATAGCGCCGATGTCCAGCAATCCACCGCCCGAGCGTTGAGGCTGGTTATGAGCGAGTTTGACAGAAGCACCCCTCCCGTGGCACCACCGATCCCGTTCGACATTCCGCTCCAGCCCACCATTCGGACTATCAAGCGGCGACTTGATCCAAAGAAGGAGCCGAAAGAGAGAGCTAAGAAGCTTGCTAGTGGCGAGGTTAATGAGATTCTGCTTGGCTCGTATAATCGCAAGAGCATGAAACCAACGCCTTTCTTGGAGAGCTTCACGCAGTTTGAGCGCCGAGCTGGCAGCGGCAAGAGTACGGACGAGCTATCGGACAATCGCTGTGGCCAATGGCTGTTCATGTATGCGGTGCTCCAGTCTCTCCCCATGCTCGTGGTCGACGCTCAAAACATCCGATTCTGCGAAGGAGTTGAATATTTCCTATGTGTTCCGCCTCGTGGCAACCCCCCATGGTGCAGGGATGATGCAAAAACAGCCCGCAGCTGGTTTGGCGTTGCTGGCGGTTCGGGTCTCGTCAACCTCCCCTCAGATGTCGTCGCAAACGGCGTCGAAGGCGTTTACAGACGCAGCCATTGCTGGCAAGTCGCGACCAAATGGGCAGATCAGCAACAGCTGCTCACAACGGTGATGCCCGAACGTGCACCAGCGAGTCCAATTACTCCGGTATCCCCTTACCAACACCCCACCGCTGGTCCCCCTGCCTTATCCGCTCCCGAGTCGGTTTCCGACAAGCAGCCCACTCCGCTCATCACTCCAGGAACCGTCACACCGCCCATGTTTTCGCTTCCGCTGCCAAATCCAGGGTTCTCGAGAGCCGGAAACAGGTCCTCCATCCACATGGGCCTAGAAGCGTTGCCGCTCCCCGCCGGCGTGGTGCCTGTCGATCCCCCGTCTCGGCCCGTGAGCCACAACCCAAACTTGAGCTTCGATCAGATTCTGGGAGAGACGTCCAGGAAAGCCAAAAAATAAGCGACCATCTTCAATCAACCAAAAAAAAAGGAATCCAAACCAATTGAGCGGTAACTTGAGTCTTGAGAAGTCTCTCCTCCAACAACTTCTGTTCCTTTCTTCTTTTCTTCCCCCTTCCATCCGTTTCAGCATTGCATGGCCTGTTATCATCTTGAAATTTTTTTTTTTTTTTTCTTTTGTTCGCCCTCGATTAATGTTGCTTTGGCATTCTCATTCATGGAGATTCACCACATAGACCCGATTGAGCTTCGCTTCATGATCGCCATTGGCATTTGTACCATTTTGCCATTTTCCTGCTTGTTCCTTTTTTTTTTTTTTTTTTTTTCTTGTTTGTTTGTTTTTTTTTTTTCCTTTCTTCCGAGCAGCGGGATTCTCGACTCACCGCACTTAATCGAATCATAATTTGGCCTTGGCCGGGGTGAGAGCGCACACACAAACACGACTTCGAAGAGAAATGGCGAAAAAGACGAAAAACAACCAACATCAACAACAAAATTTCACAAAATTTTCTCACGAATAACGATATTATTTACCCCCCCTTTTTTACCCCTCTCCTTCTGCAAAATCCACCATTTTCATCTGCCTTGAGCTCTGTTTCCCATTTGGTCCATGATTGCTGTCTGTGTACGTTTCGGTGGTTTTGCTTTGCTGCTTGTTAGTGCCTTCGAGACTTGCAGTTGTTTCTTCAATTCATTTTTTTTTTTTTTTATAGCCAATTAGTTCGCTAGAGGGGGGAAGTGTTAGAGTCGCGTAATCAAAGCAGTTGACGCAATTTTCGCAGCTCCTCCGTTCTGCGTTGACTAGGCATCGCGCTGTAGAGTAACTGGTAGGCCACATTTACTCAGGTGTGATGCGAGGAACTGGTGTGGATATATGTGTCTGTAGATAGAGCCGGGAGTCATCAAGTGCTTTACATATTACCTGCTAGTCGAGTCTTGAGGCTTGCTTAGTTGGTAGGCAGGGTTACTTCGAGCTGAGTGTTACGCGCAGAAGAAGTGAGTATTTATAGAACCATGCAGCAAGGAACTGGGGATCTTCTCGACAGTCATTGCGCAGTGGTCCGGCGTAATGCACAGTTGCTTCGCGAGGGGCAAGCCAGGACAAGGGTGTCTGTCGGATGGAATCGAAATATCGAGCACGGCAGCTCACAACGGGGCTCCCCCAATCCCAAACCAGGTATTCCTGTTTAACTAGCTCGTCTCTGTTGGGACAAATGGACTTCTCCTATCCCAGAGAACAAAGGGTACAGCTACGAACTATCTACGTGCGAGTTACAGTCGCTGCGAAAGATTGGACGCAGTTTGTTGCTCTCCGCCCTATCCTCCCCTTGTCGGGTTGCTGCTCGGCTCTCCAAGCGAATTTCTGCGGCGCAATCCTTTGGCCCCCGACAGACGCCTGCTAGTTCCTCACCCAATCCCACTGTTCAAAACGTTTTGTGTAGTGGATATATAGCGACTGGAGGTGATATAGGTTTTCAGCTGGACTAAAACACGGTTGCTAGCTCTGAGATTGGAGCATCACCAGGAGCAATCATCACCATCGCGAGGCTGGGTTGGGGATATCCAATGGCACATAAAGCACACTTGGGGCCTTTTTTTTGCAAGTGGACTATGGCCATAATGTAAGACTAACTAGTTACAGGGCGCTTGGCCTGCTGTTTGGGACCTCGTTCGCAATGAGACGACTCGAAGATATCAATCCGGCGATGCCCTTCCGCTAGCTTCTTCGTTTGCGGGCCCCATGGGAGAAAGTTGAAGACTTCGACCAGAGGGTCCACTGGCAATGTCACTCAAGCACTCCGTTTCTAGCCTAGTCAACTCGTCCATCAGGGTCTGGGCCAAGTTCATCGTAGTTGAAACGAACAGCCGGGCTGATCATAGCTTTCTGGCAACCAACCTTCTTTTACCATCTGCTTGGTGAGACCTTGGAAAATCGTTTTGATGATAAGCTCATCGAAGGATTGCCTTCCCGCCTGTCTAATTAACTCAAATTCCGTTTCCCCCGCCGGAAATTTGGCTGCTCTGATCATACTACTGGTTAAGTTGCGGAGCGAACCCAAACAACTGTCTCCTGCAACGTTACGCTACTATCCTAAATGGGGTCGCAGGATTTCACGACCACATGATAATCAAAATCCAGGCCGCTCGTGGTCCGCGCGTGAAAGTATATAAAGATGGCGGAATTCTCGTCGACCTGCAGATCAGCCTTAGATGAGAGCTTCGAAGTTTCCCATCCCTTTTTGTGTCCCAAACAATCTCCTCAAGTCATAATCCTGCGTTTATAGCATCCATTGTTCACAATGCGCATACTCCCGCTCCTCTTCCTAGCCATCTCTCCGGCTCTCAGTAAGCTGGTTGTGGATTATCAAGCTGCACGAGGCGATGATCCCAGCGTGATGGGCTATCTTAACCTGGAGGCCAAGCGCGGAAAGAGGGTGCTTGAACACCGACCGGACTTGTACATCAAGAAAGGAAAGGATCCCAAGGGTGTCGCCTGCGCCCACTTCCATCGCAAAAAGGGGAATATCCGAGCCGAATACCATGCGCTCAATAAAGTAACGAAGAAAAACAAGACATATACCATTCGATACGAATTCTCGCTAGGACAAGTGCAGCAGAGTCTCATGGTTTGGCAGATGTCAGTGATAAATCTCCAACCCCTACCTAGCCAGAGGCAAAGCTGACAGATCTTTACTTTTTCTTTTCTCTCACTCCCCTCTCTAGGAAGGAATATTTGACAAATAACCCAACGGACGGCGGCGCGAACGTCCCGCTCGCCTTGAAGATCTCCAAAGATAAACTCCAGCTTCAATACCAACCCGCGTGGGGCGTCCCGCGCGAGGTTCTCTGGGAGACCACTGCCAAAACCAACACAAAATACCGCGCCGATATCGTCATGCGCACCGGGTCTCCTGGCTGGGTTCAGTTCTCCTGGAACGGCAAGGCTCAGAAGCTCGGCAAGAGCCAGAAGACCAAGTACCCAGCGATCACCTTCCCTGGACGTTCTGACCCGAAGTTCGGAGCGTACGGGGGTGCTGAGATCGATATTGACACTTATGTGTATCGGGCGCAGATTGATGAGAAGTAACAAGCTAGGCCATTGCGGGATTGGCATCAGGGACTTGCGTGAAGGGGAGAAAATAAATAGATAAATTTGTGTACTTTCGGCCGCATAGCTAGCTTCATCCTCTTTCCTGCGCCTCCTGTCTTCGCTTTCTTCCTGTTGAGCAGCTCATCTCATCCTGCCATGCTTGTTAGTTGAATTCCTTCCAACTGACCCAGCCACACATCAGCACTCTGTTGGCTGAGGGCTGAAGCCTGATAAATACAATCTTAATGCACTCCTCACAAGTGACGGTGTCTCAAGCAAGGACCTGCAGAGAGAGTGTTGACGGCCAACTATAACTTCGTAGTGCAGAACCTTTCCATGTTAGTTTTTAGCTGGAGGTTGGTGCTCCAGTCGGAAAAGGTGAATTTCCGCGCTTCGGGCGTGGCAATGACTCACGGCGGGACTCTCTGGCGCAGCGTCGATTCGCAACTTTTGTTGGCTGCGGACAGCTCAAGATCTGACTCACATCGAGATCCCCTTTGAAACCCAGAAATTACGCTGTCCACCCCGGTGTCTCTCTGATTCGCCTGTTGTGTGTGTTCTACCAGGCAGAAGGTCCTTCCATCCTCATGCAAACCGGGGACGCTGAACATCGCAGACCACTCCAGGTCGTAACAAGCCGCGCTAACGTAGCAATTCGTCCAAAGGGCTTGACTCATCCTTAAAGAAAGGCTCAATTGGTGCTTGCTGTGAATTTCTCTGGCGAGTTCGCTGTCAGAGGTCCTTTACATCTACAGATAATGCGTCAGTGCATGGAGTAGTGGCTGTACGCCAGCCGATGACGAGGTCGGTGATCCTGAGCACGGTTGGAACAGAGTTCCATCGCTTTTTTGAACGCATTTATCGACTAAATATATAATGCCCAAGTATTCCTGCAAATTGCATGGAGACCACCACCATCCCCCGACGTCCCCCCCAGAGCCATCCCGTGGCCATTTCCTCCGCCAGTAGAGGCGTTAGTTGAGAGTTGCTTTCTTTCGTTCTTCTTCTTCTTCTTCTTCCTCATTTCTAGTTTTTATATACCCCTTTTAGTTTATTCTCTTTGGAATCCCATTATTCTGTCTAAAGTCACGGGCGTCGTGAAATATGGCGTCTTCTTCCGATCAGCTTTCATCTTCTAAAAGTCTATCCCTCCGTTTCAAGCAAACCGCTTTATGCATTGTCCCTCCTGAGCGTCTATGTGGCGAAATTGACCGTCTCCGGTCTTTCTACGACCAGACGTATGGGCGATGGCCGCCTCATGTCAATCTTCTTTATCCGTTTGTTGCTGGCGAGTCTCTTCCGGAAGCAACTGCACTCATTGGAGCGAAGTTGAAGGCCTGGAATGAAAACTTCGGTCCTCCTGATATCAGCATACTTTTGGACAAAGCGGATTATATCGCTCCAGGGAAAGGCAACCTCGTCCATTTGGTACCACGTTCACTTGGCGATGGAGCAACTCTGCAGCATCTCCGAAACGTCATTCTTGAAGCGTTGGGGCAGGATGATGCCGCGAAATACAATCCCCATCTTACCGTCGGTCAGACTAAAGCACATAACGACCATTCCCGAGACTCACTGCTATCTAAAGCACAGCTACTGTCAGCGATCGAATGGAAAGTTGAACGGCTGGTTGTTCTCATTCGTGAAAATGCGAGATGTAAAGGCTCCAAATTCACCAGGATGCGGGTTTGGGGTACGATTGACCTATCTGGGCGTGTTATGATTAACGATATCGGTAATCCATGTGACGAAGAATCGTGGTATAATTCGGAAACGGTTTTTGGAAAATTGAGCGGCCCTGAAGCCCTCGTTGGTGAGGAAATGACAACGTACCAGTTTCCACTGGACAGTCACTTTTGGAGACCCTGTGCCAAAGCCGTCGATGAAGATGCCACCAGAGAGCCGAATCCAGATATCTTCGCGATTTCGAGCTATAACGTTCTCGTTGAACTCCCCTATCCACCTCCCAGGGAAAGGTACCCTGCCTTGATTCGCAACATCCTTTCGCAATCAGCTCTGGCAGATGTTCTGGTCCTGCAAGAAGTCTGTGATGATTTCCTGTCTCATTTGCTCACTCTAGATGAGGTTCGAAACCGCTATACGTTTGCTACACATGGGCCACCGCACCAGGAAGGATGTGGACCGTTGCCTTTGCAGCGGAATGTCGTAGTTCTGAGCCGCTTCAAATTCACCTGGGAAAATGTCACTTTCGGACAACGTTACAAAAGTGCTATCGTTCTTAAAGTGAATGATGTTGGGAAACGAAGCGAAAATTCGGAATTCTTACCTCTCATCATCGCTGCGGTTCATCTGACATCTGGCCTGGCTGACTCTAGAGTCTCTTCTAAAGAATCTCAGATACGGAGCCTCTATAAATTTCTGGACCAGAACTACCCAAAAAATCCTTGCATAATTGCCGGAGACATTAACATCCCGACATCCGCTATCACAATTCAAAAGGCAATAGATGAAAGACTGCTCTCACCCGAAAAGGCAAAAGTTCTGCCACGCCTGGAATCACTACTCTCTGAATATCGATTCCAGGATGCATGGGTCATTGCTCGTGCTGGAGCCAAGGATCTTCTGTCTGCCAAAGTCCGGATCCAAAGACCCATAGAAGATATATCTGAGGGTGAGGAAGGGGCAACGTTTGACCCAAAACAGAATCCACTTGCTGCCGCTTCAGCAGGTTTGGAGGGTCGTCCACAGCGCTACGATAGGATCCTTACGGACAGACATGGGAATCTTAGGGTTACTGAGTTTAATATGTTCGGTTTTCCTGACGAAGATATGGATATCCCTTATCATTGCAACATTGAGGACGAAACTGCTGAAACCAGATTCGGTAGTGATCACTGGGGAGTCAGAGCTACGTTCAAAGTGCTCGCTGAATCACAAATAGCCGATACTACCGCTGATATATCGATCCCAAGTTCGCTAGCGACGCCAGCTAATCTTTCTGATAAACATGACTTAGACTTGTGCCTGCGGGAACACTCGATGGTGCCGACGAAGGAAGACATTAGCAAAAGAACCGCCGTTCTGGATCTTCTTCGGAATGTCATAATCCATGGCTCCGCGGCTCGAGTCGACGAGAATGGTCATAGTAACAATGAGCCAGACATTGCCATGGTCCTCGTCCCCGTCGGTTCCTATGGCCTGGGTGTCTGGAGCCCATCCTCCGACGTCGATTGCCTATCTATTGGACCGATTAGCTCTAAAATCTTCTTTGCTATTGCGGAGCAGCGACTACGAAGGGCCGCTGATTCAGGTATCAGGATCTTGCGAAAAGTGAAAGCGGCCACAGGAACTATGATAGAGCTTGAAGTGAACGGGATCAAGTGTGATCTGCAGTACTGCCCTGCCGCCAGGGTTGTTGAAGGGTAGGCTTTCCCTGTGCACTATCCGGGCCTTTCTTCTTCTTGATCATAGACTAATCCCTGTCTGCAGATGGCAGAGAATATCGCTATCGCCGCCAGACGATCCGATATTTGACTTATCATATCAGGCGTTGACGAAACTTCAAGCATTCAGAGATCTCGATTATATTCGGCGCAGCATTCCAGACCTGGCAGCATTCCGAACAGCTCATCGTTTCATAACAGCATGGGCAAAACATCGTGGTGTCTACCTTTCCAGATTTGGCTACCTTGGTGGAATTCATATTACTATGATGCTTTCTAGAGTTTTCAAACTGTTCTGTGGTGAAGTAAGAGTAACCTCGACGGATATGATTTACAGGTTCTTTCAATATTACGCGGACTTTGATTGGGAGCATAAAACCGTGTTCGACCCTTTCTTTTTTGAAAGTACGCCACGCTATCGTCGGTATGCCAACGAGCCGATGGTTATTCTCACAATCAATGTTCCGCTCATCAACGTAGCGAGGGCAACTGCAGGTTCTGCTAGGACAATAGTCGAGGAGCTACGACGAATGGCGCAATTAATGTCAGATCCAGACATGACTTGGTCGAAACTTCTTAACAGCACGGTGTCAACATTGGAGCCTTCAGAGGAGTTTCTAACGGCCTATAGCAGCTATATTAAGATTCATGTCCAATACTGGGGGATCTCTCTGGCTAAAGGGAAGACGCTTTTGGGTTGGCTTGAATCAAGATGTGTCCGCCTTTTAAATGGTGAGTAGATCTATGATATACCTATGGGCACTTTCGCTAATCTATGCGATTAGATATTGATCGGAAGCTACCAAGCATTTATGCGAGAATGTGGCCCGCGAGATTTTCTTCAAAGGATGCCATGAGCGATGATTCAGAATACCAAGGGTGCTATTTGATCGGTCTTACGAAAAGAGAGACCGAAGGAACTGAAGCTATGACCAAGGAAGAGCGGAAACAAAGCCTGGACCTGATGATGAGGGTTTTAGAGAAATTCAAAACCCAAATCCAAGAGGAAACAAAATATTTCGACCCTACGACGGCTTGGCTAGATGTCACCCACGTCAAACAGTCTGAGCTTGGCGCTCTTAAGCTCGATGGGCGAGACTGGGGAGAATGTATTCCCACCGAAGAGCTATCCGACTCGGAAGACGAAGAAGAGGAAAATATTGACATCCAGGCCGATGAAGTAGCTGCTGCCGTCGCCGCAGAGCGAGCGGCTCGCAAGTCCGGCTCGTCAAAAGCAGCAGCCACGGGCGTTCCAGGTGCAAAACTGCGGCCAGCAGCAGACATCCTCAGCCGTCTTCGCTGGGATCCGAACATCGACTCGGGTGATTTTGTGGTGGGGTATGATGACCGGTTCCTAGGAAGTCTGGAGATTCCGCTAGATAATTGGAAGACGGAGCAGACCGACGAGGAATTTATTCCACAGCATAGGATCCTGTACTTCAGGAGGAAGAGTGATGGGGTGGTGATTTGGGATAGGGAGAGTAAGAAGGATTTGGTCTTTGGGAGTGGAGTGATGCCGGAAAATCAGGATGTCGGCTTTGCTTGAGCGGAATGGCTTCGTTCTGGAGCAGTCGCTGAAGAAGAAAACCGGCCCAACTAGCCCTTTGCTCGACTTGGCAGAAAGCTCAGCAGCTGGCAATATGTAGCAGTGTCTTATAAAAAGCTGGAAGAGACATGATAATCCGGAGTTTTCTTAGCAAGCGAATCGGGTATATCCTATACAAGTAGCATGCTGTTGTCCTGTACATTTTTCTGTAAAGCAATCCAGAACTCCGTACTCCGTTTCTTTGCACATGCAATGACGACCTCCCCTGTGATCCGGGCTGGGGCCAAAAGGGGAAAAAGGGAGAAAAAAAGGAATATAGGTAACTAATTTGGACTTGTTATATAATTCGCCAACTCGTCGTGACTTTGCCCCATACAAACACCCCGCCCGACCCCATTCACGACTCCGCACCGTATTAAGGATATATAATCTGCGCTTTACAGCTCCTTCTTCAAGAAATGCTCCGGTTTGTGGGTCGTCTCATAATCGACGTGAACATGTGCGCGCTCCACGTCCGGGAGACTCTCGAGTTTGAACTGGAGTTCTTCCGCTACGTCATGCGTTGCTCGGAGGGATGCCTCGGGGTCCATCACGATGTCGACTTCCACGAGAAGACGGGGTCCGGAGGTATAGGCACGAACGGTGTCGATGGCATTAATCAGGGGTGAGTGGGTCATTGCTTTTTAGAACGGGCAAAGTTAGCTCAGCAAAATCAAAAGACGAATCGAGTCCAGTTGATCGGGTGCTTACAGATATAAGTGATTAGTTGTTGCATTTCGGTATCTGCCGTAACGCCGATGATCAGTTGAAATTCGGAGTATGCGGTTTTCGACCACAGGGCGGAGATCAGGACCGAGAGGATCAAGGCGCCCATGGGGTCGATCCACCATCGCAGCTTACTTCCTCCGACGGAAGTCAGGATACCAAAGCCGTTGATTAACAGGTCATTTCGGTGATCTTCCCATAAAATTCTGACTTGGGAGTACTGGTTTCTAAGCGCCCAGCAGTACAGGAATAGGAGGAATTTCGTGGCAAAAGCGATGCTGACTGCGATGACGGGCGGTAGACTGAATCGTAAAGTCTCCTCCTCGCTCCCGTCAACCAAGTCTCGAATCGAGAAGGCGATCAGGATGAGCGACACGGCCATCATCAGAAAGCAGAAGCATATGTTTCCGGCGGTCTCAATACGGGCCTTTCCGGCCGGGAACTTGCGTGCGTCGACCCGCTTTACGGCTTTGTGGCACAGGAGCAAGGTCAGGTTGGAGAGTGGATCGAACACCGAGTCTGCCATGGTGGTGAAGAGCGACAGGGACCCAGACGCGATGGCGCCGTAGAGCTGGAGGATGGACAAAACCACATTTGCGGCGAAGCTGCCGTAAACGGCGATCCTGTAACGCAATTGGTTCTGCGTGTTGAGTTCGCGGGCGAGTCGAACGTGCTCATCGACCGGTTTTAGCAGTCGCTCGATATTAGCGTTCTGGGACCTGTAAAATCCCTGGAGCTGTTTCGCAGAGGATTTGGTGCCATTTGGCTTTGGAAACTTGCGTCGTCGAGCCGTGTTTGCCGGGATAGAGTCGATCTCGGCGTCGCTCTTGAGCTTGGAAGAGAGTTGGAAAGGGTCATTTTCTCGTGTGTAGCGGGGAGGGCGGCCTTCTTCGTCGGACGAGTTGTTCATCATGGCTGGATAGGAGTAGGGAATCGCTTCAATGCCGGTGCTTGTACCGAGCGGCGGAGGAGGAGGAGGAGGATGTGGTGGGAGCGAATCGCACAGGTGGCGTGGAGGCGAGGGAGGTGCGGCCATGTCGGTGCGAGGGTGGAGGTGGTACGGAGGCACCACATGCGCGTGCGAAGGACGTCTGCCGTCCGCCATTGACCGACCAGTGTGCGAGTACGAAGAGACGGCGTGTTTTGGTGTGAACTGGCGAGTGTCGGGCTAGCGCATCGGACTGATGGGATTTGCTGCTGCGCCGCTGATCTCGGCGGCGGCGACGGCAGCGCCCTTGCCGCTGATTGGCGCGGAACAGATCTTGATAAGATAATCTGGCTTGGCATCGGCGATATCTCTAGCCAGATCGGGACTAGAGCGCGGTCGAGCCCCTTGGCGCAACGGTATAGTTCACGTGACCATGTCTCCTGGCGGGAGCGGACGACGACATCGTCTGCTCGCTGCACTTCATCGCCGGCGACAGACAGTCTGTGGAGTGTGCGAGAGAGAGCAGAGCAAGACCTGATGTCTGCGGCCTCGGATGCTGGTCTTGGTGAAAGCCATCCTGGACATCCAGAGAGCTCTGTTACGCTGTGTGTGCTTCCTCATCTCTTTATGGCTAAGAGGGCCTTTTTCTTTTGTACCATTACGCCTTCTAGCTTTCATGTCCTGGCACCCTATCTTTGTTCTAAAAGGATAATATCTTAGAGGAAGGATGCCTGTTCATGCTCAGTGGGATATTCACATCACCACCTTCATCCTGGGCAGGTGCCGGCAGCTTCATTCTAAACAGCCCCAACTATAAATTCCCCCCAGTGTGCAGGGCATTCAAACATCCAATTTGCCTTGAATTGGGGAAGAGGGCCGGGAAGGGGTCCTGAAAATGCCTGGAATTTGCCTATGCAAAGGTGTTCCTCACGGCAACAGTCCTCTTTGCGTTTGTTATCACGAAACATCCATACGGCACTGAGCTGAATGTGTTGCTCCGATTACATCAAGTGCCGTATCGAAAGTATTCCTGATCTCCCCTATAAATATTGCCTCCATGGATTTAAAACTTGCTCTCTTTTTTTCTCAAGCAGTGTCATTCACCTCCATCCTTTCAGCATTTTGGAAAAGGAGCCTTCACTCAAACAGGAGCTCAGCTCACGGTCTATCTTCTCCCAGCACCTACGTGCTGGGTCTGTCCTGACGTGCCTTAAACTCCTGCTCTGCCTTCTCATTCATCGCATCTGTTAAGCATTCTTGAACACCCGACAAAATCATTGCAAAAATCAGACAAGCTTAACTTCTCGTCTTCCTCTTTTTTTTTTTTTTTTTTTTTTTTTCCTCTTTCTTCAAAATGCCTGCTCATTTGGATGACTCCCCCATGCTTCCATATCTTGTTCGAAGGGATTCCTTCCTGTCTACACGCCGCATTTATGGTCCTCATCTTACAGTTAACTTCAAACCCGATAAATCCTGGCCACCGAGTCGCGTCCCAACCGACGTGTTCTTTCTGATCAGTCAATACTTGACCAAGGCTGATCTCGCTCGGCTTCGGCTAGTGAATCGCGAGTTTGCATTGAAGCTTGATTATCTCTTCTTCTACAAGGTGTCGGTTCCATTATCGCCCGACTTCTATGTGGCAAACACACAGAAAGAGGACGATGTGGGCGTTTTTGAAAGAGTTGGGGCTAATATCACAAAGTTTGGGATTACTCTGGACATTGATGAAGGTATGAGATAATTTCCCCCTGCTTTTCGTTGATTCTAGGGCTTATTAGTGGTGTTCATAATCGTCGTTGCCACAATAGCCACTTTATTGCTGCCTCCCCTTCCCGCCAATCCTATCTGCCCAAAGCTCTTCGGTTCGGGTGAACATGACCGACTAGATCGCGACCGGGTGTTTTATCAACGGCTCAGAGACACGGAGCTGCTCGTATGTCGGCGCTGGCGGATGGTAAAGGCCTTTTCCCACTTAACAGCGATGAAGGAATTGGCACTTAGTTTCAACACCGGACTGGGTTGGGTGTCACCTCCCGTATTCAATCGTTTCCAGCCCATATTTCTACAGCCTCCAGTGGTCTTTCGAAAAAGGCATTTGCATCTGTCTCCCCACCAGTATTTGTTGCCAAATGATATCGTCCGGTCTGGTACAAGGGTTGCTCCTGGTCCATATGTGTTGTCAGCCTGTGGTGAGAGAGCAGGTAAGTAATATGTCTAACTTTCATTTGCACACCAAGTTTTAGAATACTGAGAAACGTTTTCCATTATAAATGTTTACGAATCTTTGGATCTGTCTAATGTACTCTGCAGTAACTACATGGTATGGCACTGATGGCTCACGATTTTGTGAAACATGTCGTCATCAATCGCAAATCGAGCTCCTAGCTGAAACCTCATCGGTGATCCAAAGATTCTTCTCTTCATTCTTCCTGGCGGTCATTGATAACGGCCAGGTCTTCCAGAATGTGCATACACTTACGTTCTCTGGCATCTCCTCCGGGTTATTACACAATTTGAACAACTTGGAGTTTTTTGCCTGCTTCCGTGGCTTGAAGTCACTCAGCATCCTTGTCTATGCAGACTGGAGGAAGTTCGATGAGGGTCGAACGAGTCTACAGCAAATACTACCAAGTGAGGCTCGTTATGAGTTCTACCAGATACTTCAGGAACAGATATTGCCACTGTCGAATATCGAGTCCTTGACATTGGGTTATATCGGAGGAGGCGAGCATGCTCACGGCGCCCTCGTCCGCAACCGAAACATTCTCCCGGCTCCAATTATGCGTGAACCAGCGACTTCGGCCATGGGGAAAGCAAGAAACTCGGTCATCTGGTTTAAACACGTAAAATCACTCACATTCGAGAACTGTTGGTTTGCACCCTCCGCGTTGATTCAATTCTTGACCCATTCGAAAAGGAGCCGTTTGGAGAACTTAGTTTTTGATTCGTGCTCTTTGGCTTCGACTCCTGGCCGCAAGGATCACGCGTTGATTCGGTGCGGCCATGGAACGTACCCAGCGTGGAGGAAGTATAACCGTCGGGTCCCGTCTGGCATCTGGATTTCGATTCTGGCACAGTTCGGGCCGTACCTCCCGCTTACCGACCCAAACCTGCCCGCATCCTCGCAGTTTTCGGATCTGAAGCTGCCAAAACGCAAGCCTCTTGACAACCTTCGTCGGATGGATTTTGTTTCTTGTGGATATGTTTTGCTGGGCCCGTTTTACAACCAGACCAATCTCGTCGTGGATGAAAAGAGCAACGATCTGAGACGCGCGGAGACGGAGAAGCGGCTTCGGGAGGCCGTGCGCGATGTTGACGTGTCCAACGCGCCCGTGTATGCACCTTTTACCAAGCAGGTGTACGACGGAGATAACCTTCTTGGAAGCATTATCCAGTCGATTGACGAGCGTGAAGAGTATACGCTGGCGACGGGATATAATTTCATGTTTGGCTGGCCTGCAGGAGACGGACTCCGGCGGCTTGTTGAAGAGGATGGATGGAAGCCTGGAGGAACAGGGAGATTTACCGGGAGGGTTGCTCGTCCTGAAGAGAAAGATGCTGAGGCTTGATAAGTTTACTCGGCGTCTATTGATTTGCCAGGTTCATGGGTCTGAATTCCTTGCCCCCGTTTGCAAGTAGGCCCCTTTTTTTTCTACTAGTCTCTGAAAACAAAATTTTCTCGTCTATGGATTTGGGCTCGGATCTCTGGAACGGGCCTCGAAAGTGATGCCCATACTCGATTTTCCTAACCTACAGAAATTTATGGGTTGCAAACCACGGAGGATGGGGTTCGTGAAAACCGCCACTCAGTTTGGAATCTGGAGCGTAAGATCCATGGTTATTATTCCCCACAGGGTTATCTGGCCCAAATCCCCGCTTGTTTCACGTACTCTTGTACATAACTATGTAACTCTCCTATGTAGTTATGTGGTGAGGTACTCCGTACTCGAACCGTTGGAATCCCAGCGATGCAACAGTGGCTGAGACCACATCGTGCTAATAATTAGTTAGTTAAGGTAGTTAGTTATGTATTCAAGTCGCGCACCAGACTTCAGGAGAATGCGCGTCGACCGCGCCGTTGAATCGGTTTATCTGGCCACTCTTTGGCCGCGGATGCCGTGACGAGAGCGGCCACGCGTCCTCTGCCCGGTGGCCATTGGGATCAAGAGAAGGACGCGGCGGTGGTATACGTCAATGTAGACCTAACTAGTCAACTAAAAGAGTGACGCCGGAGTAAGCTTCACCAAAAGCTGGTTCACGCTGGGGAATGCCGGCCGTGGTCGGCGCGTACATGATAGTTAACCATCGGTTGGCTGCATGGGAGAAGCAGTTCGACTTGGGGGCCGGCCGGCTGTCAATCACTCCTTGGCTTGCAACGAACCAACTCGTCCCCAAGTTACATAGTTGGTTAACTAGTTAGTTATCCTCGCTGCCTCTCGTTCGGCGAGCTCGCTTTCGTCGCTGCTCTCACTTTCGCTCATTTCTTTGCTGATCGATTGCCTGTTTCCTTTTTTTTTTATTTTTTTGTTTTTTCAAACGCTGTGCACAATACAAACCTCCCCTCCCCCGAATTATTGCGACCGTCAAGCACAAGGCGAGAATGAAGCGCCTGGTTGGGACCATTAAGCGGACAAGTGAGTTATCGCTATTCATCAGTCTCCACACCAAAAGTCCATCATGAATGTTTGCCAGGCATTTATTTCTTGCTCATACTAACCTGGATCAGGTACCACGTTCCATAGGTCTAATGGCGCATCACATTCTCAAGACTCCCTCGAGGATACGATCATAAAAGCACTCGTGAGTTTGTCCACCGTTGGTGTAAGCGCCCGCTCGTGAACCCAGGCTGACTGACTGCTGGCGAAAGACGGCCTTCTGCGACTCTGGCACTATGCACAATGCTGTAGGCGCGCCCACGAAGATATTCTCTCTAATACTCGCGTGCACCGGTTCTAACCTGAATTTTCCCCCGTGCACCCAGGGCGATGAATACCTCCATCTTCCCACCATCGTCGAAGCGGCCGAATCGAGCCCCTCCGCCGCCAAAGCCGCCGCGAACCGGCTCCACAAGTACTTGTCAAAACCGAACTCGCCGCACGAACAGCGCCAGTACAATGCGATCATGCTAATTCGAATATTGGCCGATAATCCCGGACCTACCTTCACGCGCAACATCGATTCCCGCTTCGTTTCGTCGCTGAAGATCCTGCTGAGAGACGGGCAGGATGTCAGCGTGCAGCAGATCCTGAGGGAGACCCTGGAGTTCCTGGCAACCACGAAGGCGGGCGATACCAATCTTACGGAGTTGAACAGCATGTGGAGTAAGGAAAAGGACAAATTCGTGAAGCAGTTTGGTATTCATCCGGTTAGTGAGATCGTTTGTGCTCTGTCCGAGCTTGGGGGGATTTTGGTT